TGTGTATATAGGAGAGGAGCTTAGCAAATTTGTGTAAACCTCTGCGTCAGGGATTTGGGGTTAAGATCAACATTATCTTTATCTTTTTTGAGTCTGAGTGACCTGCATGTGCCATGACCTCTTAAGTGCCCTGCCACTAACTCTTGCGGGGTTAGTGCAGGGGAGTATTCAAGCTCAACCTGTGCTTGCCCTTGCCACTATCGAGGTTGGGGGCGTGGGCCACTGCACCTCTGCGTGCAAAAACTTTGTGTCTAGACATACATGAAATCATCTTTTTTTGCCTCTTTTTATAAGTGTCACATTCCCTCTGTTCTCAGCTGCACAGAAAGGTGGTGGTGGTGAAACAGCAGGCTCACTGAACCTCCCTGCCAGCTCAATAGCTGTGCAGCCTGTGAGCACTGTCTCTGCAGGCTCTGAGTTTCCAGCACAGCTCAGAGAAATGACCGCCACTGTACTCTCATGCTTAGTGTGGTCAATTTTTGTCAGAGAGACCCTGCAGGAACACCTCTGGATTTCCACAGAGGAAGAAATCCAAAAAGCCACATACAAGTACTGGTACACCAGGCCACATATCAAGTATGAAATGTTGCATTTACATATTCTGTGTGCCCTGCCACAGCTCACCTCTGCGTGCCCTGCCACAGCTCACCTCTGCGTGCCCTGCCACTGCTCACCTCTGCGTGCCCTGCCACAGCTCACCTCTACCTGCCCTGCCACAGCTCACCTCTACCTGCCCTGCCACAGCTCACCTCTGCGTGCCCTGCCACTGCTCACCTCTGCGTGCCCTGCCACAGCTCACCCTCTACTGCCCTGCCACAGCTCACCTCTACCTGCCCTGCCACAGCTCACCTCTGCGTGCCCTGCCACAGCTCACCTCTGCGTGCCCTGCCACTGCTCACCTCTGCGTGCCCTGCCACAGCTCACCTCTACCTGCCCTGCCACAGCTCACCTCTACCTGCCCTGCGTCACCTCTACCTGCCCTGCCACAGCTCACCTCTGCGTTCCCTGCCACAGCTCACCTCTGCGTTCCCTGCCACTGCTCACCTCTGCGTGCTCTGCCACAGCTCACCTCTGCGTGCCCTGCCACAGCTCACCTCTGCGTGCCCTGCCACAGCTCACCTCTGCGTGCCCTGCCACTGCTCACCTCTGCGTGCCCTGCCACAGCTCACCTCTGCGTGCCCTGCCACAGCTCACCTCTGCGTGCCCTGCCACAGCTCACCTCTGCGTGCCCTGCCACTGCTCACCTCTGCGTGCCCTGCCACAGCTCACCTCTGCGTGCCCTGCCACAGCTCACCTCTGCGTGCCCTGCCACAGCTCACCTCTGCGTGCCCTGCCACAGCTCACCTGCGTGCCCTGCCACAGCTCACCTCTGCGTGCCTGCCACAGCTCACCTCTGCGTGCCCTGCCACAGCTCACCTCTGCGTGCCCTGCCACAGCTCACCTCTGCGTGCCCTGCCACAGCTCACCTCTGCGTGCCCTGCCACAGCTCACCCCTGCGTGCCCTGCCACTGCTCACCTCTACGTGCCCTGCCACTGCTCACCACTGCGTGCCCTGCCACAGCTACAGCTCACCATTGCGTGCCCTGCTACAGCACAGCTCTGCGTGCCCTGCCACAGCTCACCTCTGCGTGCCCTGCCACAGCACAGCTCACCATTGCGTGCCCTGCCACTGCTCACCTCTGCGTGCCCTGCCACTGCTCACCACTGCGTGCCCTGCCACAGCACAGCTCACCATTGCGTGCCCTGCCACAGCTCACCTCTGCGTGCCCTGCCACAGCACAGCTCACCATTGCATGCCCTGCTACAGCACAGCTCTGCGTGCCCTGCCACAGCTCACCTGTGTGCCCTGTCACAGCTCACCTCTGAGTGCTCTGCCACTGCTCACCTCTATGTGCCCTGCCACAGCTCACCTCTGAGTGCCCTGCCACTGCTCACCTCTGAGTGCTCTGCCACTGCTCACCTCTGCGTGCCCTGCCACTGCTCACCTCTGCGTGCCCTGCCACTGCTCACTTCTGCGTGCCCTGCCACAGCAGAGCTCACCATTGCGTGCCCTGCTACAGCACAGCTCTGCGTGCCCTGCCACTGCTCACCTCTGTTGTGCCCTGCCACTGCTCACCTCTGCGTGCCCTGCCACAGCTCACCTCTACGTGCCCTGCCACAGCTCACCTCTGAGTGCTCTGCCACAGCTCACCTCTGCGTCCCCTGCCACTGCTCACCTCTGCGTGCCCTGCCACTGCTCACCTCTGCAGTGCCCTGCCACAGCTCACCTCTGCAGTGCCCTGCCACAGCTCACCTCTTCATCCCTTGCCACAGCTCACCTTCACACCTTTTGGTCACAGATAATCTCCCTATTCACAACTCAATTCTGAATCACAACCCTGCCCCCCAATATCTCATTTTGGCAACCCATGTCCACAGATCTTACCTTTGCATCCCACTCCATCCAAAGTTCCTACTTGGCAACCTGCCCTCAGCCATCCACAGAACTCAACTCTGCACCTAACCCCCCTCCTTTCCTCATCATTCAAAGTTTTCACTTCTGTACCAGCGTCTATCTGTCTATATCTCGCATGTCTGCAATCGACAGTTTCCCTTCCCTCCTATACACACGTCTCCCTCCTGTGCCTAGCACCATGACCACTCATCCCCAATGCTCACCTTTGGTCACTGCACAATATAGTTCACTGCCCCCCCCCCCCCTCTCCTTACAGCAGCCAACACAAATCTAGGAAGCAATGGAAAGTGCGGGATTTTTTTTTTACGACGGCACCTGGAGCAACAGTCTTGGGATGTGGGGCAACAGTCTTGGGATGTGGGGCAACAGTCTTGAGATGTGGGGCAACAGTCTTGGGATGTGGGGCAACAGTCTTGGGATGTGGGGCAACAGTCTTGGGATGTGGGGCAACAGTCTTGGGATGTGGGGCAACAGTCTTGAGATGTGGATCAACAGTCTTGGGATGTGGGGCAACAGTCTTGAGATGTGGGGCAACAGTCTTGGATGTGGGTCACAACAGTCTTGGGATGTGGGGCAACAGTCTTGGGATGTGGGTCACCAGTCTTGGGATGTGGGTCAACCAGTCTTGGGATGTGGATCACAGTCTTGGGATGTGGGGCAACAGTCTTGGGATGTGGGGCAACAGTCTTGGGATGTGGGGCAACAGTCTTGGGATGTGGGGCAACAGTCTTGGATGTGGATCAACAGTCTTGGGATGTGGGGCAACAGTCTTGGGATGTGGATCAACAGTCTTGGGATGTGGGGCAACAGTCTTGGGATGTGGGGGCAACAGTCTTGGGATGTGGGGCAACAGTCTTGAGATGTGGATCAACAGTCTTGGGATGTGTGGGGCAACAGTCTTGGGGATGTGGATCAACAGTCTTGGGATGTGGGGCAACAGTCTTGGGATGTGGGGCAACAGTCTTGGGATGTGGATCAACAGTCTTGGGATGTGGGGCAACAGTCTTGGGATGTGGGGCAACAGTCTTGGGATGTGTGGGCAACAGTCTTGGGATGTGGGGGCAACAGTCTTGGGATGTGGATCAACAGTCTTGGGATGTGGATCAACAGTCTTGGGATGTGGATCAACAGTCTTGGGATGTGGGGCAACAGTCTTGGGATGTGGATCAACAGTCTTGGGATGTGGATCAACAGTCTTGGGATGTGGATCAACAGTCTTGGGATGTGGATCAACAGTCTTGGGATGTGGGGCAACAGTCTTGGGATGTGGGGCAACAGTCTTGGGATGTGGGGTAACAGTCTTGGGATGTGGGGTAACAGTCTTGGGATGTGGGGTAACAGTCTTGGGATGTGGATCAACAGTCTTGGGATGTGGATCAACAGTCTTGGGATGTGGATCAACAGTCTTGGGATGTGGATCAACAGTCTTGGGATGTGGGATCAACAGTCTTGGGATGTGGATCAACAGTCTTGGGATGTGGATCAACAGTCTTGGGATGTGGATCAACAGTCTTGGGGTGTGGGGCAACAGTCTTGGGATGTGGGATCAACAGTCTTGGGATGTGGGGCAACAGTCTTGGGATGTGGGGCAACAGTCTTGGGATGTGGGGCAACAGTCTTGGGATGTGGATCAACAGTCTTGGGATGTGGGAACAGTCGTGGGATGTGGAATCAAACAGTCTTGGGATGTGGGGCAAGTGTCCTGGGAATGGGGCAACAGAGTTAAGTGTAAGTTAGTATCACTTAGCAAGAGTCTAAGGGAGGTCTGCAGTAAGGTGATCGGCATCATGTAGAGGAGTAGGAGCACTTAGCTCTGCACAGCATTCAAAGCAGCCTGGGTGGGTGCAGCCCATTCTAGCTCCCCCCTAGATCCGACCATACCTGAGCCCCCTCTCCATCTAGCGATGTATCCAGGAGCCTTGGCTGTCCTGGGTCTCTCTTTCCTCCTATGCTGAGCCACAACAGCGGGAACTATTGGCTTCACTTCTGTCAGTCACAGCCAGTGAGCCAATGAAGACAGAGCAGAGAGCGTGGCCAAGATGCGGGTCTATGTGTCTTATGAACGCGTAGAGTGGGGCTCAACAGCGAGCATGCACCCCGTGCCCCCATAGCAAGTGGCTTGCTTTTGGGGGCACTGGTCAAGGGGTAGGAGGCAGGAGCACTGGTGAGGGACCTGAGAAGAAGAGGAATGGGGCTGCACTGTGCAAAACCATTGCACAATGCAGGTAAGTATAACATGTGTGTTGTTTTGGTTTTTTTTTTTTAGTTGAAGCTTTAATATCACTTTAAGAGGTATATTTATAAAAATAAATTGCAGAGCAATTCGTACAGTGAAAGTTTTTTTCACATTCACACAGAAAGAATGCACATGCACTGTCATTGGGCAAACACCTACACACGTTTATATAAATACACCCCTAAGTGTCCAGCCCTACAAGAAATTGTTGAACGATTTCTTTCTGCTGTTTGTATACCTTTTTTCTTTCTTTCTCTCTCTCTCTCTCTCTCTCTCTCTCAATGCTTGTCTGCTGTTCTTTTTTTTCAGGCATTTAAACTTCTCAGTGATCTCTCCTAGTGATCTTCAATGACCACCTGAGCCGTGATGATCGCTCGTATTTTCAGCCACTTATTTGCACCCCTGACCTGTCTCTGCAGGCTGAGCTGGCTGGATTCCTTGTTGATCATGTGTTCACGAATGCTGCAGATCTAGAAGGTGATATATATATGTATATGATATTCTAGAGCGGGTGACTCGGGACAAAGAGTAAGCAAATTTTTTTTAAATGCCTTCTTCAGTGTTGTGTATACAAAGGAGCATTGGGGAGCTCTTGTCCATAATGGGGATGATATTGACACAGTCCCGAAATGTTCCTCATTGGCTCAAAATTAATATGATACAGAAATATTTAGACAGAATAAAGATGAATAAAGCACCTGGACCGGATGGCATACACCCACGGGTCCTAAAATAATTGAGCTCTGTCATTTCAAAAGCCATTGTTTCTAGTTTTTAGGGACTCTTTAATGACTGGTATAGTACTACTGGACTGGTGTAAGGCCAATGTGGTGTGTATATTTGAAAAGGGGTCGAAGTCTCTACCAAGTAACTACAGACCTGTTCGTTTAAAGTATAGCAAAATGCAAAACTTTTTTTTCAGTTTTGGATAGAGGACGGAGGGATTACTACATCTGTCAGGTTTTTATTGCTGTCTGTGCCCCCGTTAGGGAGTTCACACACTCTATTTGTCCCATTTACCATTTATCATTCAAAGTCAAAAGAAAAACCACATTTTGTGTTGTCCCCAGAAAAGTAATAGAGAGGAAAGGTAAGGTAAAGTCTACAGGCTTGGAAAAATCCATATGTAAATGGATAGAAAACTGACTAAAAGATTGTATTCAGAGAGTAGTGGTGATATGACTTCTAACTCTGAATAATCTAGGGTTGTCAGTGGGTGTACCCCCAAAGTTCAGTGTTGGGGACCTTACTTTTTGTATTTCAATGGTTTTTATTAATTAATAACAATTAACACAGGTAGCAACAAATCACGCCCACACAGGGGCTATCAATTGCACATAAAGAAGTAGAAAATTAAAGAAAAATCAGTGCTCTAAACACCAACAGGGCAAAAGATCGCCCACGCAGGGGCCATCAATGGCACTTAAATAACAAAACATAAATATTAACACTGAGAATAACTCAGACTAAAGGCAGCTATCCACTGCACATCAAAAACTAACAGAAAAAAAAAAAAAAAAAGGGGGGGGGGGGGGGGGGGGAAGGAAGGAGAAGTACGAAAGAAAAAAAGATAACCAACAAGAGCAGGGATCCAAAGAACGCAAAGGCGTCGAACAACATCACATCCCCAGACTAGCCGGGGGGAGCGCGTGGGAGGGTATATTGCAGCCACGGCTCCCATATTTTCAAGAATTTACATTGGGAGTCGTTGCAGATACTCGACATATGTTCTTTGAGCATCATAGTGGTCATAGGTCCCGCACCCTGAAGAGGGACAAACGGGACTCTTCCAGGCCTGAGCAATTGTTCTAGAGGCTGACAAAAACAAATAGTTAGCCAATTCTGCTGATGAGCCCAGAGGCCGGGATGGGACAATGAAGCAAAGCATACCGAGCATCCCAGGCGTATGGAGAGATGGAACAAAGTGAAAGGAGGCCAAACACACGAGACAAAAAAATACGAAGCAGCCTCGGGCTATGCCACCAGATATGCAATACATCACCACGATGGCCAAACCCCGAAAGCATCGATCACTACAGGCAGGATTTGCCTGTGCCAAACGAGCCGGAACCCAATACCAACGAAAACAATACCTTGTAAGCCGCCTCCAGCGTGGTCGTATTAAATGAGCATTTAGCTATGAGTGACCAGGCCTTATTCCAGTCCCCGGATCCACAGCCACTCCCAGGTCACGCTCCCACAGAACGACATATGAAAGAGAAGTAATGCGACGAGCGTCTATTCAAAGCTACATAAAGAAGGGAAATAAGGCCTGGGGCGCCCGGCCGCTGTTGGCAAAGCAGTTCAAAGGCAGATTTTTCTGGTACGGGAAGACAGAAGTGCCCCGCAATGAGAGCAGCCATTGCCGCAATTGAAGGTAACGAAAAAATTCCGCCGGAGGGATATCCCGTGACTCCCAAAGAGAATTCCAGGTAGGGAAAGACCGAAAGGTCAAAAAGTGTCGTACCTGTGAAAACCCATTGGTCACCCACCCCAAGAAAACGCCCCTTGGTTGATCTAAACCTGGTGGGAAGAGGGGGTTGTTTAGTGATTGGGAGCAAAGGCAAAAAAGGTGACATTAGGCCACTGGAAGTAACCGTACCGAGTCCCACACTTGTAAAATCCATGGTGAGCAAAATTGGACTCAGTGTTGCGCGGGGCGCAGGGCAGGGGGAAGCCATTCGAAGTGTTGATATCGCAATAGGAGCACAATTAGGTAATTCCAGGAGGACCGCCAGAGAGGCTATTGTCTGAGGAAGCATGCAACATGTATAGCGGGGGGGCGATCAGCTCGCCTGATAATATTTAGTAAACATTGGGAACCCCAAGGCCACCCTGGAGTCTATGAACAACAAGAGCGTATCAGTTCCGAAACTCTGGGGCGTTTATCGGCCAGATAAAACGCATAATCTTTACCTGAAGCACAACCGAAGGAAATGAGGAGGAACCCGCACTGGGAGGGTGCGAAAATAGTATAAAATTTTGACAATTCATGGTCATGTTTACTGAATTAATCCGTCCTATCCATGACAGGTGCGGAAATTGCCAAGAATGCATATGAGAGGACACAGACGAAGCAATGGATAATAATTTGCAGCAAACTGAGTCATTAGGTGGGGGTTAAGCGGATGATCCTAGGTATTCAAGAGAAGAGAAGCCCCATTTATAAGGGAAGTGGGACTGTAGGCGCGAAAAACCAAATCTGAGGCCAAAGTAATATTAATAAAGCGCGACAGTCTTATCCAAATTTGATACAAAGACCCGAAATCAAGGAGAAGCGCTCAAGAACCTGTTGCAAATTTGGAAGCGTCGTCAAGGGGTTAGTGAGAGTCCAGAGGGCATCGTCTGCAAAAAAGGTTCAACTTGAACTCCTGTCCAGCGTATGGAACCCCACGATACATTTTAAAATCAGTCCGGCAGTGCCATAAGCCAACTGGCTCAAGCGCCAGGACAAAGAGTGCTGGGGACAGGGGGCATCCCTGCCTCGTACCTCGCCAAAATAAGAAAGGAATCTGAGAAATACCCCAGCGTATTTTACGGAATCCGAAGGGGAAGAATACAAGGGCTTGAATCCAAGAAAGAATAGAGTCCCCAAAACCCCAGCGAGACAGCACAACCGCAGATAGTCCCCAGGATAGAGAAATCAAAGCTTTATTGTATGTCTAAGGACAGTAAGAATCCATCCCGGTATTTTCCACTGTTGTAGAAAATGTATAAGATGGACCACCTTACGAACGTTATCACCCGCTTGTCTCCCAGGGACGAAACCCACTTGGTCCCTGTGGAATCAGGACGCAACAAATATTTATTGATACGACAGCTAAGAATCTTGCCTAATATCTTTAGGTCCGGGACCCTTACTTTTTAATATATTTATAAACAATATAGGGTCTGGGATTAAAAATCCCATTTCAGTCTTTGCAGACCGCCCCGTGACACCAAGCTCTTTACTTGCTTCCCTTCTTAGTGAGTCTCTGGACGGATTTAAGTCCTGTATCATGTATAGGATGAAAATGACAGTGTATTGCACAGCACACACAGTGGCTAAATGGTTAGCCACTTCCGCCTGGCAGTACTAGGGTCGTTGATACCTACACAACAAACACTTTTCTCTTGCGCTAGGAAAGGACTCCGTAGACCCCAATAGGAATGTTCTGGAATTTTCTGGAATATGCACTGCTTGCTGCCCTAAACAGGACCGGGATGGTCCAAATACACTGGATACAAATGGAGAAACAGAAAAAGGGGCGCACCTGACCTAGTGTGCATTATTGTTTAAAATAATTTAATTGAAGAAACAAAATAGGTATCATACTCACAATGGACATAATAACACAGCCATGTCAAACTGAACAAGCTGTATGATCCAAACAACATCTGAGTCCATACGATGGAACCCTGGATGACCAACTGGCTAACGTGTTGGCTCTGAGGAAGAAGTTGTGTCCTCGAAATGCGTTAGCCAGTTGGTCATCCAGGGTTCCATCGTATGGACTCAGATGTTGTTTGGATCATACATCTTGTTCAGTTTGACATGCCTGTGTTATGTCCATTGTGAGTATGATACCCATTTTGTTTCTTCAATTAAATTATTTTAAACGATAATGCACTAGGTCGGTGCGCCCTTTTTCTGTTTCTCCATTTGTATCGTTGATACCTGGTTGGAGGCACTCTCTAGAACTCGTTGGCAGATCCTGCTTTGCATACTGTGACTTTGCTTTGCCAAACTCGGGTTAGTTGGTCAGATTCCATTCAAAGGAATTTGCACTCTAGCAGTTGATCCCTTAGTCGTAGGCCTCCTTCACTCGATCGGTCCTATCAGGTCCACCTGACCCGTTTGGATCTGCCATCTCCTTTATAAAGCGGCGGGTCTGTTTACACCTGCCAACCTCCAATCCAATAAAAAAACAGAAGGGAATCCATTGCCTTCCCTCTGGGCAAGTCGGAGGGAAGTTGTGTGTAAACGGACAGCTGATCTGTTTACATCTGACTGCCGATAGAGCAGAGCGGGCTGTGTCAATGTCGGCTGACACGGACCTATGATCCGCCCACTCCACTCTGCTCAGTGGGCCTCAGCGGACTGTGGAAGCAGAGGCCGCCCCTTATGAACGGGGCCTTAGGGTTTTTGGAGCAAATATTTTTTCTTTTATTATAAAATGGACTGCTAGAAGTTTCCCATCTCATGGGGCTCCTGTCAGTAAACATGTAGAAGATATTTTATGTGTTGGACTACCATGTTAAAAAAGTACCTACTCTTATGGCTTTTAACCACTTCCCGACCGGCCGTTGCATATAAACGCTGGACGGTGGCACTGCAGGGTCGGGTGACCGTCTATAAACGGCCTCCCCGCACCCTGCTTGTGCGCACTCCCTGGGAGAGCGCTCAGCACAGCGATCCGGTGCCCGCTGTGTCCTCCGGACACAGTGAAACACCGATCGTCGGACGGGACCTCTGTACGAGGTCCCGATCATGTGAT